GCGCCCGGGGATTTAAAGGCCCCGCCTCTTCTGGTAGAGGCCATGCCCCTCCTAAGGACTCTCGGAGTACCGGTAAGTCCTTAAATTACTTTCACCCCTACCCACATCACAACTGGAACTTGGAAGTGTCAGCCTCAAGGCCAATGACACAAGAAAGAACCACCCTCCCACCACAGCTGTGATCCCCCAAACTGAGGGCTGACACGGATTAGCTGTATGGTGAAAGAAACCTTACAATGGTGTTGCCTGAGCTTGACATGCCCAGTCCATAGACATAAGACTTTGATTGCCAGGTTGTCAATGTGGCAGCTTTCGCAAGCATAATCTTGACTAAGGCTCCAGTCCATCAAAACACTTAAATATATACTTACCTTTTAAATGTGTGTGTGTGTGTGTGTGTGTATATATAAATATATATATAGTCTGACTCCAGTGAAGACACCAGGACTCCTCACATGCTTATTTTAGGGCATCTCTACACATGGAGTTATTCTGGAATAGCTATTCTAGAATAACTCCATGTGTGGACACTCTTATTCCAGACTAAGAGTGCCCTTTTCCAAATTATCTGTGGGTACATCTACACTACAGGGGGGAGTCGATTTAAGATACACAAATTCAGCTACGTGAATAGCGTAGCTGAATTCGACGTATCGCAGCCGACTTACCCCGCTGTGAGGACGGCGGCAAAATCGACTTCTGCGGCTTTCTGTCGACGGCGCTTACTCCCACCTCCGCTGGTGGAGTAAGAGCGTCGATTCAGGGATCGACTGTCGCGTCCCAACGGGACGCGATAAATCGATCCCCGAGAGGTCGATTTCTACCCGCCGATTCAGGCGGGTAGTGTAGACCTAGCCTCAGAAAGTGGAAGTGTTCTGGAATAGCTATTCTGCTTTAAATTCAAACCCTACCTTCTTCTGGAAGAGCTTGCATGTGTAGACAACTGCCCACAAATGGTCTGAATGAAATCATGGGGGTACCCACAAAGTCATGTCAGGTACGTACTACTCAGTGTGAGTATGGGTGACAAAATCTGGCCCTTAGACACAGAGAATGGGATTTTCAAAGCAACCAGGGGTTTCATTTGAATGGAAATTGAGTGTTCACTGCCCCTTAGGAAGCTTTTAAAAGCTCAATCTTAAAATACACTTTGTTAGAGAAATGTTTCTTTTCTATTGACTAATGTTTACTCTTTTCTCCTTGAGACCTTACTTCTATTTTGCATTTGTATGTTAAAACCATTTCACTAACCTGAACATAGGGCAATGGCAGTAGAAAGCAGAAAGCCCTGGTAGGATAAATTTTCCTATTAGTATATAGTTTTTAATTGACATGAAGTTCTGCTGGGAAACCAATCTGTGCAAAAGCCCATTTCCTTTAAATTTCCAAAGCTTTTCAATGTGCTTATGATCATTTAAAGAACTGTCAACTGGTGCACTACACTAAGGGAATAAAGGCTGCCAAATGATAGGAGAAGGTATTAGGAGATTTGTAGCTTTGTAGAATTGTGATGGTTAATTTGCCTCCATCTTTCACTAAAATAAGAGATGGAGAGGTTTAAATATGATCAAGTCTCACTACATAGCTCTCTTACAAACAGTTTCAGTCAAATATTCATCTCCAGACTTATAAAAACTTCTCCTTAAAACACATTATACAGTGTAATGACACAGGGATCATCTTGTGGATGACTGAACCCAAAATTTCTGGATCTAAAAGCAAGAGCTAAACGACCAACTCCTTAAGCATATATGGTATAGTTCTATTGAAGTACCATGTATAAAAAGGCAATACCTCAGTTGCCAAGGAGTCATTCAGATGCCACTGTGATGAGTATGGTACAAATGCCTAGGCCCTAGACAGATAGAGGAGGGGAAAAAAAGCTACCTAATTCCAATTACCAAAAGTGCAAAATAAGAATTGATCAAGTTGCAAAGTCCATTTTAAACGTTTTTACAACATTTCATGAGTAATGTTCTTAATCCACAATCCTGATGTTGCTGAGGTGAGTTCTCTCTTTTATAAAGACCATCTGTGAGTTACATGCACACAGGTGCATATCAAGAGTACTCTAATCTATATGCACCATAGACTATAAGGAATTGGTCTGTTAGCTCAAATGGTCGAGGCTCTTCTATGTAGATCTGGAACTCCTAGGCTCAATGGATTTGGTATCCTAGCTCTCTTAGGCCCCTTTGAAATTCCCGTCCATTGTTTCCAAACAATGGAAAGTCCATATTTTAAAAAGCTGTGGGCCCAGTGCTCCATGCTCCCCTTCCTCCAGCACAACAGAGACATCTTTGAAGAATTTCAACGGTGGAAAGGGGGCAGGTGAGTCAGCAGGTCTCCAGCCTATTCTCCACTTCCCCAAACCTACACAGCATAGCATGTAAGTTACTGCAACCATGGGGCCACTGCCAAGTACATGACAGAAAAGCTGCATAACTTACTGCATACTCTTGGTCACACCTTGCCCCACTTATGCTGATGTAAATCTTCAGCTTCAATGGAATTACTCTGGAGTATGCAGGGAGTTATGCGGCTTCTTCCTCATCCCTGTGGAACACTCCACATGGCTCCTGTGGTTCAGGGATCTAGGGTCAGCAGGAAGCCAGAGTGAAGAGTGGGAGAACACAATGCAGTGTGGAAGAAAGAATTCTCTGTGTGGATGCCCCAGGGCTATAGTGGTGTTCCCAAAATCCATACAGATCTAGAGGATCCAAACACTGATCCCCTGAATCTGCCCTCAGAGAAGAATGGAAAGGAAGCTCTGGGGTAGGTATCATAGAAGTCCTTTACCCACAGATGGGAATAACCAGCACAGGGAATTTGGCTTTTTGCTTGAGTAAACTGGAAGCTGCAATTAATTTACCCAAGTTGGGATATTCAAAGGAAAAGGCTGAAACTCCATCTTAGGCTAAATCTTGTTTGCCTTACTCATGCAGATAGCCCTGCTACCCTCAATGAGACTGCTTGTGTGAGATAAGCAGGATAGGGTCTCCTGCTCCTTCACTCATGCTCCCATCAATGTGCAATAACTGATGCTCCAGAGAAGGCAAATAAGCAACAAAACACTTTGCCTACCTATTTGCACAGTGTATGTGAGTAATACATTACTTTTTTTTTTTTTTACTAATTTTTACAATATTCCTTCCTGACCCAGGAGGTGATTAGCTGATGTCCTGAAGCATGAGATTCAAGTGCCCGCATCTTAACATACATAAAAACATATGTTATTACTGGTCATAAAATTATCCAGCCCTTTTAAAAATCCAGTGACTTTAATTAATTTTATGACCTCCTGCAGAAGAGAAATTCCATAGGCTAACTCAACCCATTGTGCCTAGCTACTGCAAGGGTCTGAGATAAATTTCCTGATGTTATGAAAGGTATGGGCTGCAAATTCTAGATGAAGTGTAATGAATTAAGGATGGCATTTCAGCTCTAACATTTGCCAGCTTGTGCCAAGATGTTAATGTTAATTACATTCAGGTCTTGTTTTGTTTTACTGCAGCTGGGCTCTGCTCTGTGTTCACTTTTATTGGTAGTAGGAATACAGACATTAGGTGTTTTACAGATCTCTGACTTCCCTCTCTGAAGCATGTTGAGCATTGCTATAAACATAGCCATGGTTAAGCTTGCTCAGGCTACAGAATATACTGGAATGACCGATGGCAGGTTGGGGTGAGATCAGCAACTAAGTGAGGTTAAATGAGCCTTCCCCGTGTTCTGCTTGTGATCACTATATGAACATGACAAAGCACACGTCTGTGACATTATGAAAAGGAGGAATCCAGTCAGGATATTGGATCAGTGTGTGAATGTATTTATTCTCATATTGTATTATGAAACTATCCTGATTTCACCATGGGAGAGCTGTTTTAAGGTGAGAAGTAACAGGCAAAGTATAGAAGAGCATTGCCATTTGCCTACTTCAGTATTTGTTAAATATTAAGAAATCTGAGAATGTCCCCATCTGGGGTTGTTCTAAATAAATCTAGTTTCTGAAATTATGCACTCCATTTTAAAGCTTGATCCAAAGCTCACTGAGGCCAGTGAAAAGACTATTGACTTTAGATCAGGTCCTGGGTCAGGAGGAGAGAAGCTGAATGTTGCAATGTTATTAACCCTTTGTGGAAGAAAACAGAGCAGTCGGCCCTCTATACCTCTCAGGATGGTTATACAGCTCCCCCTTTTCTCTGCTTTCTCCTATTTTACATTTTGTCATCTTTTATTCTCTTGGATTTGTGCAAGATGCCAGCTAGTGTGGGCAGCTCCCCACTCTGCTTCAGGCATCTCTGCAGTGTGCTGAGATGTTGTGAATGGAGATGGGGAAAGACTTTAGTGGGCAGAGAAAAATGCAACTGAGGTGACACGCTGTATTCAAAAAGATGTCAAAAAACTGTCACTTCTGGAGAGTGCTGCTCCCAAAATGCAGATCTCTCTCTGTCAGGGGGAGAAGGAATATCTCCACCCAGTAGTGTGAGCAAACCTAGGGCAACCATATCTAACGGATTAAAATTGAAACACCTCTCTACATCTTTGAAGAGCAGTGAGTGCAGTACACAGTTGTTAGGAGACATTAAACTGACCTGTATACATTTCCTTGCCACTGAAGGGATCAGGGACATGAAGTGCAAGTGTGTCTGATTGATACAATCTCTTCTTTAAAACCTGCTCAATGCAAGGATCACTCTAAAACCTCCCATTTATCACTGTGGTCACAAACTTTAATCTCTGTTTCCTGGCCTTCCACGTCTGGGATTTGATTCCTCTTCTCGGTGGAGGGGGAAGAGTCCTTTTTGCACCGGGATAGGGAACTGGATTTATATGCATGCGGAAACCCACACTAATTGTCTAATTAACAGGTATAAGAGGTGAGGGAGAGTGACAGTAAAGTATAAACATGTCCCTATAAGCTAAGTTGGATCATACATCAAAAACCAGAGCGGCACATTCAGATCACCCCCTTCTCCTTAATGCAGAATTAGGAATCTTACCTGATAGGCATCTAGCTGTTCATCAGTAAATATCGTTTGCTTATTACCCATCTTAAATGAGGAATTCTCCCTTTGTGCAAATGCATCACATAAGAAGTTGCAAGAGTCCTCAGTACTGTAGGCATTTAGAGCATATACACTTCGTGATCGTGCTGAAGAAATCCCCAAGCCCGCATTGAACTGCACTTGCCTGCACCTGTCCGGCTAGCAAGAAGCAATGAAGTCGTTTCTGGGAACCTTGGCAAAGGCTGGTTTTTGATGTGCTAGGAGGGAGAAGGTTAAAATCCCAGGCAGGTGTCACCCAGAAATGGTGGTGCCATCGTCCTTTCCCCTGTGTTTTCCTCGAGCACAATACAGGGCTTGTGTGGCGTGAAAACTGATGAGGAGCATCCAGTGTCAGAAGGAAACCAGCTCTCTGCTGCCCCGATCTCTGTCTCTCCGCGGCACTCCCTCTCTGTAACTTCCCGGTGTAAGAGTAGCTCTGCACCACTAGGTGTCGACGATAACCCATTTATATTCCGCAGGAGGGCAGCAAGAGAGGCTGGCTGGGTTGCTCCAGTCCATCAGGGACAGGACCCAAGTGTGGATTTTTATTGCGGGGAAATGCTGCCATGCGCTGGGTTCAGCTAAAAGTCAATGGAAATACAGGAACAAGGTGTAATGAGGAATATGAGGGGCTGCAGGCAACATGCTCAGTGTGCTAAGAACAATAACCGGAGATAAAAAAATAATTTTGGCCATCTTACTGTACGTGGAATGGGCTTCTGGACAAACTACAACTAGCTTGTCTGAGACTGCGGCTGAAAAATGACCCTCTGGACACTCCAGCAGAATGGGATCCACTCCCCCTCCTTCTTCTCCCCGACACAAACTCTCTGTCAGAGACGATAATCCAGCCTGCTTCAGAACAATCTTAACTGAATGAAGACTGCATAGAGACAATGTGGGTGAGGCAATATTTTTTATTGGACCAATGTCTGTTGGTGAGAGAGACACGTTTTACAGTTTCTTCCTGAAGAAGCGCTCTGTGTAAGCTGGAAAGCGTCTCTCTCTCACCAACAGAAGTTGGTCCAATGAAAAATATATCTAATATCCTGGGACCTACACAGCTACACCACCACTGCATACAATAATGTATATAGACAGGCAGCAATGCCTAGTGGTTAGAACAAGGCACCAGGGCTGACCCTAGACCAAATGGTGCCCCCTCCATTTGTTAAACTTTTGGATACCTTACTTCTGTTGCATTTGTAGCCCATTTCATGACTTTGATGCACGATCTGAATGCATGATTTATCCCTGTCATATAAGATGATAAATTTGCACACAAATCGTGAATTAAAGTCATAAAACAAAAACAGCACCCCGACCCCAATGCCTCCAAAGCCTGGCACCTTAGGCAGTTGCCTGGGTCACTTGCCCCTAAATCTGGCCCTGCAAAGCACTAAGGGAACCAAGGTATCTGAAGTCAGATTTTCCCCCCCACTACAAATCCCAGTCTATCCCTGGTTCGGGGTATGACCTGTGGCACATCATCTATGCTCATAGGACATTTGGCAGCCAGGAAAGCTATCAGAGCTGCTCTAATCTGTTCTGGAAGGGGACGGCATTGCAAAGTATGTTGCATCCCCTACAGTCTCTGAGCCAGGCTCAGTACCAGCACAACACAGAGAAAATCAGGGCTTTGATGGATAGCAAACAGAATTTCTCGGTCTGGTGGCCTTATGTGAAATACTGTAAATTAGTGGTCACTCCCTAATGGACACCAGTTCATAGAAAAAAGGCATCACAACCACTGGCAGTGATAGCAGAAGCCAAGGACTGAATTCATTATGGAGGCTGAACCCTTTTCTTACCCTTGCAGATGTTCCCTCCAGATCATGGTTGAAATACACTGGTTAGGCCAGGAGTGAGCAAACTTTTTGGCCTGAGGGCCACATCTGGGAATAGAAATTGTATGTTGGGCCATGAATGCTCACAAAATTGGGGTTGGGGTGCGGGGGGGGGTGAGGGCCCTAGTTGGGGGAGAGGGCTCTGAGGTGGGGCCAGAAATCAGGAGTTCAAGGTGCAGGAGGGGACTGAGGGGGAGGTGTGGGGGCGGGGTGAGTGCTCCAGCTGGGGTGGGGTTGGGGATGAGGAGTTTGGGCAGTAGGAGGGTGCTCGGGGCTGGGATTGAGGGGTTTGGAGGGTGGGAGGGGGATCAGGGTTGGGGCAGAGGGTTGGGGTGCAGGGAGAGGCTCAGGAGTGCAGTCTCTGGGTGGCGCTTACCTCAAGCAGCTCCTGGAAGCAGCAGCATGTCCCTTTTCTGGCACGACCAGGTGGCTATGCACGCTGCCCCAGCTGCAGGCACCACCCTTGCAGCTCCCATTGGCTGCAGTTCCCTGGGAGCTGCAGGGGCGGTACGTGGGGCAGGGGATGTGTGCAGAGCAGAGCCTCCTGGCTGCCCCTAAGCGTAGGAGCCAGAGGGGGGCCATGCCACTGCTTCCAGGAGCCGTGTGGAGCAGCCCCCGACCCTGCTCCCCAGCTGAAGTGCAGGAGCAGGACAAGCCCCAGATCCCGCTCCCCAGCAGGAGCTCGAGAGCTGGCTTAAAATGGGTGGCGGGCCAGATCCGGCCTGCGGGCCATAGTTTGCCCACCCCTAGGTTAGGCAGTGGGGAGTAGCTTGCACAGATACTTCCTTTACTGCATTTATTTTATTGGTTAATATAAAACCTCAGTCTCCAAGGCTATTAATCCAGCACCTATTAATCCAGCACTATATTTAACAGATAGTGGTGACAGCACATTGCATATCATGAGGTCTGTCTTCATGGGTCCAATATTAACAATGTTCCTGACCTGGAGCCCTCCTAGGGCTCTTCCCCTCCCTGTAGAGACCCATTTACCCAGGCCTGATAGCTGGGCTGGGTGCTGGAAATAAGATTTGCCTTGGTAATAACAACTGGAAATGGGAAACAATCTATAATAGTAGCATTAAAAGTAAATGTATCAAATCTGTAGTAAACAAGCTCTGGGAGTTCCTGAACCATATGATGTTCCAAGGCAGACAATTAATTCAGATCATGATGAGTAGGAATGCAAGACTAGATTCACTGGAATACAGTATCAGTCTATTGCAGTGCTCTAAAGGTATAAGACAGTACAGCATTTTTACAAGTTAATGGTTTGAGTTTAGCAGATGGCAATGCTAAATGTATTAATGAGAACCAAACAATAGTGGCAGACATCTGAATTTTAATACTGAAAACATAGCAGTCTAATGATCAAACAAAATATAGTTGAGTTGTTTGAAAATATTTAAAGGAAGAAGCTAGAATAACATGACCTATTCCCTGACCTAGTGTAAGTGCTGAGTTAAGTGCTGCAGAGATCTGGCATGTGATAAAGACCCACTAGAAAATCAGAGGGTTGAACCTGCTGCATCTGGTATATGGCAAAACTGACCTTCATTGTTCTGACTGCAAATTATTTTTATTTCTTCAAGGTGCAATGAGATCAAGTCCTTCTTTCCCCAAAAAATCACCAGTATCAACAAGAAATGGCAAGAACAAAGATTGCAAAATACATTGTCGGGGTGGCCCAGCTTTAAGCCACATCAGTAAACTGAAGTCGTGGGTGCTCAGCATTTCTGAAAAGCAGGCCCTAAGAGACTCTAGCTGCCTCAAGCCGGGCATCCAAAAATTAGGGCATCCAAATTTGGTGGATACTTCTGAAAATCTGGGTCTTAATTTAATCAATCTCTGTACCTCAGGTTTCCCCTTCTATAAAATGGGAAAAATGATACTTACCCACCTTTATAAAGATCTTTGAGAACTATGGATGTGTAAGCAGAGTCAGGCTGAGCTCTACCCTGACATCTGGTGGTGAATTATGGCGAGTGTGGAAAAGAACTCCAGGGGCTGATCTTGTTTGCATAGGCACACCCACTCGCCTGGCATGAAACAACAGCAACTCAAAGTGGTTACTTTGGCTGGTGTGGGATCCCCAGTTTTCTCTGTTATTGGGGCAGGAAGAATAAAGTTTTGTTACCCTGATTCTGTGAATCAAGGCCAGTGAAACTGTTGTATGACAGAAGGACTGAGTGAATCCTTCACCATTACCTAAGTAGCACTTGCTTGACAAGGGGCATGGGTTACAAAACCCAGTGAAGGGAGAGAGGATGGGATAGGTATTTGTATCTGGTGGTATGGGCCCCTCTCTGAGGGGTTGAAACACCAATTGCACTACCTCCTCTCTCCACTGTTGAATATCAGAGCTAACTTTGATTCCATTAGAAGTCTAGTTACAGACTGCTGAGCTGAATTCACTTTGGGCCAATGGTGCACTAGCACCGGAGCTCCCCTACTATGAGCTGAAATTGCTAAGAGCTGAAATCACAAAAGAGCTGAGATCACTGAGGCTGTGTTAACTAGTGGGGGAGCCTGAAGATATATTGCTAAGCGGCTGGCGGAGCAGCTAGCAGAGTGGAGCCTTGTGGGACGGTTGGAGTGGAGCTGAGCGACTCACAGGTCGGTGAGCGGAGCGGAGTGGCTGGAGGAGCGCAGAGCGGAGCCTTGTGGGAGCAGCCCAAGGGACGGCTGAAGTGGAGCAGAGCTGGGCGGCTCACAGGTCGGTGAGGGGAGCAGAGTGGAGCAGCTGCCAGAGCAGTTCGTGGGACGGCGGGAGCAGCTCACGGGGCAGCTGGTGGAGTGGAGCAGCTCGTGGTGATGGCTGTTGCGGAACCCCATCGGCCTCGGATCACGTAAGGTGCCCCTTAACACCCTGCGTGCCCCCCCTCCCGAACTCTGGGGCTGCACTGACCAGGGACAGAGACTTTGGGGGGTTGTTGGACTTTTGAGACTTTGGTGATCCTTGGGTTGCTGGTTTCAAGAACCCAAGGGAAAGGACACAGCCCAACTTGCTGGGGTGGGTTTTTTTGGCTCATGGTTTGTGTTATGAATCCTCTTTGTGGTGTTTTTCCAATTTAATGCTGATGTCATTTACCTCATGTTATTAAACATTTTCTGTTACACTCAGACTCCGTGCTTGCGAGAGGGGAAGTATTGCCTCCTAGAGGCGCCCAAGGGGTGGTATGTAATTGTCCCAGGTCACTGGGTGGGGGCTCGAGCCGGTTTTGCATTGTGTTATTGAAACGGAACCCCTAGATACAGAACCCGGCCCTTGTTGCTGCCAACTTAGATGGGCAGAAGGGTTACAGATGAAAGCGCTAAGTATCTCCAAGTATACCTGTTAACCTCACATCTAAACATCCTGGTTGAAGTATTAGCAAGAATAGTGTCTGTTAACACTGGTCTACAATTTTTGAGAAGTTGTCTGCTTCAGAGATAAAATGTGCTATTTATTATGTATTTTGATGTGCTGAATTCAAATATGACAATTAAAACAACTGATTGGCTACTGTTTCTAAGATATTTAAGTTTTGACATTTTATG